ATATCTGAGCGGTCTGTGTTAATAAAATGTAAGAAATCATCGATTTTTAAATATTTTTTTCATCTAAAACTCGATGAAAAACCTCAAAAACCGAATACTGTGAAAATAAGCAAAAATGTACTTGAGGTTGTTGCGTTAATATCAATCAGCTCCCGATACAACATTTTTAAAACGAAACTTTTGCTTATTTTTGCTGGTTTTGTCGAACAAATTCAGACAAGGGCATTTGCCCTTTCAAGGACAAAGCAAATTTTAAATGCGTAGGTTGAAATAACTCCAAACAGGTCGCGAACAAATACACTTTCAAAAATCTAAACTAAGCTAACTCAAAACTGCCCTTACAAACATACAAAATCCACAAACTAAAAAACAAATACATGCAATTTAAACTCTGCAGACCCTTTTCTTTTTTTCTTCGCTAACAGCACACCATAGCCATTTTTACCAACACTGCGCCTATCTGTCGTTCTTTCCACCATATTGCTTTACACGCCTGGCTCGTATTTTTCAGCTATTAATGTATGATTACTCTTAAGTTCTTACCAATTTCACGGGCCGTGTCTATCCCCCGTCATCTGCCTCGGTCAGTGCCGCATTTTTGCGCGATTTTCGCCGTTTTGGTGGGTCTTTGAGCCGCATCGCTGAGCCCTTCCTCCACTCCGTCGTCGACGCTTCGCTCCTCTGCTGCGTGTGTCCTCCTCTCTGCCTCTGCCTGAGCTGATATCCTTCAGCGGCTCTGCCCACTTTTGCTCTCAACGTAAGCCAAGCTCCACTTCCTCTACAGCCCCATCTAGCTAGCGCTAGCATCATACTGAACATAAAAGAAATGTCCTCCTTTTTTTTTCTTTCTTCGGCTGAGCTCATGACACGTTAAAAACAGCATATTTAAAACATTGTCGTAAATGAAAGAAGTTAACAAAACATTATGTTGGCCAAGTGTAGCTGTATATTTGTCAGATAGAGCTACATTAGGACGCTAGCTAGAAGTCCAAGTGAGAAAACTTTGTACGAATATTGTTATGAATATTGGCCACGAAGCTACAGTTAGCTTATTGAGGGTATACTAACACTTGAATCTAGTGTGTGCTTTCAGGCTACCCTTTTTTCTTTTCTTTTCTCACAAATCAAATGTGAAATAGTTTGTTGTTGTTGGGGGGTTTTCTTTACCATAATGCTGACCTTCTTTGATCCCCTTCCTTTTTATGGCCTTAAAGGCTTGCCGGGGACCTTAATAACACTTTATTAAGTTATAATACATGTTTTTTTGCTACCATGTGAACTCAGCTTCATTGAGGCCTTGCACACAGTCTTTCTTAGCCTAAGATGATGCCATGCTAGATGTGCTATGAAATTAACTTTTTATTTGTTAGTTTTGAACAGAAAATTCAAATATTTAACTGCATAACCCCCCCCCCCAAAAAAAAAAGATGAATTGAATGGACTGGAAAGACCAAATCTACTTCAGGGTTAAGACATACATGAGGATGTAGCCGGATATAAGCACAGGTGTGAAATAGACAACAGAGGTCCACACTGCTTGTGACAACCTGGCAAAAATCAACTGATTTCAGCCCATTATTAACCTTAACTGCAAATAAACAAAAGGAAATAGAAAGGAAAACTCAAACTAATAATGTAATGGATGCATTGAGAAATCTATTGAGAACAGCCAAACATGGCAAGCTTGGCTTGTTCAGTGAATGCAGCCTTTGTTGGACACTATTTGTTGAAGACTCTGGTATGCACGCACTCCACCCCCATCGTGGGCCAATGAGATGCTCCACACAGCAGCGCATGCTCTTTCCAGTGGAAAATTTCTATAAAAAGATCATCAGCCTAGCAACAGGAGTGCCCTGCTGAGGTATTACAAATTCAGACGCCTCAAGTGAAGTGACCATGGCCTTATTTTAAATGACTGGTTGGATGGATGGTCCTTCCTGAATGCTGAAATCTAAATATTGTGCTCTGAGAGACTGACAGGGTTCGCCTCTGTGCCCCAATTGTACAAGTGCCACTCCTATTTGGTTCTTAAATGTGTTTATTTTAATGTTGCTTTTTGTAATGTCCTTAATGTGGTGTAGTTACAGTCATGTAAGATTTTATATTTATGTATAGATTCCAGTTTTAATGAAATTAATACCGGTAAATGCATTTTGGTAAGAAAATAGAGTGTAGAAGAGGGTTTTAAAACCTGTACACACAACTTCACAAGAGATTTGTGTCTCCTCCTGGGGCCATACTGAGGCTCTTTCACTTACTGGGCAAATGTATGAACAACACTAAACTATAGAGCCAGTAAACAAGTGGAAAACTCACTCCCCTTAATTTAAATATAGAAAAGTATGATACATGTAGTACATTTTATTGACAAAATGACCCGTAAATCAAAGGTAATGGAGGATCTATTTATGCGTAGTTTGGTAGGAAAATGGTAGGAAATTATAAATTAATCACTAGAATCGCATTTCTATAGAAAATAGTGTGATTAGAATACTTTAAACACATGTGTTAGCATATGAAGGACTACCGTTTATATATGTGAGTAAATGTATGGATAAATGATATATAGAGTGTCCGACCTACCTTTTTTATACTGTTATTTGTGGTGTTTTTTATGTGTATGACTTGCAACTTCTTTTCTTCATCCGTTCTTAACAATTCTTTAAAAAAAATTGTAGTTTTGGGGAAACTAGGCTTATAATGGTAGCTTTGGAGATGAAAAAGGTAAAGTGTAAAGTGTTAACATTTATCTTGGAACACATGTTCTCAGAATTGAAACCTGTAAATGCAGCACTGTTGTAGAAAGGTGTGGATGTTGGTTCTAGCAAAGACTGACCCAACAATCAAACATAAGAACAGGTTCTTATGTTTGATTTTTCACTTCGAAAGATGTGAATACACACAAAATGTGACAGTCAAACAAGGAAATTAATGCTTAAACCATCTTTGAAGGTAAAGAGAAATAAGATTCAAAATAAATACCATGGATTATAATGAGCATATTTCATAGCACAGGTAATATAGATCCTATAGAGTATTGATGTGTTTCAATCTAGTTTAAGGAAATGCATGACATGATCGCCTCAGTCATAACCTGAGCTGTTTTTCTGTGCAAAGTTCAAGCCCTGTTCTCAGGATGTGACAATATCCTTGTCAGCTAAAAATTTGTATCCTCCCTTTTGAAACAAACTCTTGCCCCACATGGGGAAAACCACAAAAAGCAAATACATCTGAGCAAAAATGATTATATATAATATACATCCAGCCTTTGGACAGTTTATAATGGTTGTTTTGTGTGTCTGTCTGGTATTTGTGGTTCACTTAAGCTCCTCTGACATTATTGTAATTTGCGTACAAATCCGTGTTAGATCTTACGTCATAAAATACGTCTTTAAATATGAAAAAAGAGTCAACCACTAAATGGATTGTTTGCTTCAAAATGCCTCTGATTCTCGAGGTTTTCGCTAAACAGAGTGTGCTGCATGTTGAAACCTCATCTGAGGAGAAAATGCTTGCTCTATTATTATTTGGTGCTGCCATCTGGTGGACCTTGTTCAGATTAAAGAGTTCTAGTAAGGGAAATGTACAAAAGTACAGAAATAATTAAACACACCACACACACACACACAAAATGAGACTAGCTTTTGTCTTTGTTTTCATACACAGGGAGTCCCCACAGGTTTGTCTGTGGTCTGATGTCTACATCTACTGTAGTTTTAAGTTCCTTCCTTACTCTCAGTTACAGGCAACCCTTGTAAAAATAACTTGTAAATATCGCTTCTTCGTTTTTTTGTTTTTCTTACAATAATTCTGGTTAAAGACGTAATTTTTTATTTATTTATTTTTATTTTTTGGGGAGGGGGATCATTATTTGCATCTATTTTAAGACAGACCCAAAGACACTGATTTAGTCATTTTTTAATCCTTACTGATGTGGTTGTCAGTGGTTATCACTGACCCACTGACTTCTAGGTATTTTCTGGTCAAGATTCCCAGGAATTTGCGGTCGTGAACCCGGTGTCTGCTGCCCTTGTAAAATTGCGTATGCTACGGCCCACCGTTAGAAGGGAAAAGGGCTGCCTTCAGTACAGTCGGAAATTTGGGAACTACCAATCGACCTTTAAATGTGCTTGAAGAAGTCAGGATACTCTTCCACCTATGAACCGTGTCAGAGAGTAATGATAAAGTAAAATTGTCCAGGACTTTACGTTGACTACATACCTGCAGACAAGTTGAGATTGCATTTATTCTTAGATTAATTTTTATACTACTTACATAATGTTGAATTTTGATTACAGCTATCAGGAAAATTTCACTGTGAAGAAATTATGGTATGTGTTTTTGCTTAAACTTGGACATAAATGTTTACCCCACCCTATTTAACTGTTTGTGTGCAGGTGGTCTGGTAACAATGAAAACCACATTTCATGGAGCCATAAACGTGTGCACATGAACAGAAATTCATATGTTGTTCTAAAATCACATATAAATAAATGAAAACACTGTAAAATACCAAGAAAAGTAGCTTTGGATGGGACAGAATAAACTGTTTTTTAATTTCCTTCAATAGCTCTTTAAACGCTGATGACTAAAAATGACCATTTTCTAAAAATCAAATACATTTAAAAGCTGTTATCTATTAACACTGAAACCATATCAGTAGCCAGTATCTTGAACTGTGAAGTAGATGGGCCACAGCAACATAAAACTACACCAGGCGTTGTTTCTGTCAGCTAAGGAAAGTCTCGTCCACACTTCTAATAACTTCTAATGATTCAAAATATGAGCCGTGTTGAAAGGAAATCCATGAAATTGGACCTGCACATTTCTTTGATATGTCTCTTGTATTTTATGAGCTTTTTTTTTTTATTTGTTTTTTATTAAGGTAAGCTACTAACAGGTCAAACTAAAGTTGCCAGCATAATTTTCCCCCAATCGCACGAAGTTGTTGAAATTACACGATTAGCTTGAACGCAGCACAAGCCCACATAATGCTCTTCTTCAGCACCGGGAACAGCGGGTCAGCCTGCAGAGCTCTTCCGGAGGCGGATAATCCCCTTCTCTGCGCGAAGTCCTCGTACAGTGAGAAAGGGATCGCTGTAGCTCCCCTCGAGAGGAACACGTTTTGGGATCAAATGCAAGTTACGACGGGGGAAGCGCAGCTTTGAGGACAGCTTGGACGTGTAGAGAAATGTCTGCGCATCTCTCCCTCTGGCTTTATTGTGTAAACAACCAAATCTGACACCGATAAGCGGATTCTCTATAATGTGACAGCTGCTGTCGCCGCTCATCTATTTCGGGAGAAACTACGGGCAGTATCCCGCTTGCGTTTTTATTATTTCAGGACAATGGTGGCTCATAACCTGGCCTTAACCTTTATTGCCGCGGCTCTTTGGGGGGTCAGCGGCGAACTATTGCTCACTCCTTCATCTGCGACGCACTTAAATTCAACATCATCATCATCCGTCATCAGTCAAGATTCACTGACTAACAATGCCACGGATGCTGCCGTGGGATCCCGGATTTCATCTCTAATGACGTATCTTCCGACCCTGAAAAACATTGTTATTTTCATCTGCGTGTTAACAGCTGCTCTCATCACGTGCCTGGTCATCAAAGTGGTCAGGTAGGCAGGTTGGCGCAGAAAAAACAAAGCAATCGTTGCAACGGTTGTGAAGCTGTAAAAGTCATGCAGACATTATGAGAGCAGGATTGTTTATACATTTGCGTGTGGTTGATTTGTCCCCGTGTGATGTGATGGAGAAGGGTCTGGGCCTGTTGATTCTCATCTTACGGGGATTTCTAGGCACTGATAAGTTTAGCGTCATACTGCCTTATGTAGTCGTTTTATGTGCCCGTAAGCCTTGAATCTAGTGAAGTGGGCTACATTGTTACTCTGTTTACATTTCTCTGATTGCACAGTTTATTTTCGGGCTCATCCAGGTCAGATCTAATTCTGCTAGTTGCTATTTTCCTTTGCAGTCAAACTGGAACTTCTTCTTTGGGAGGTTGGCGCTTACTTAAGCAACTGATTATCACCATATTGAAATAATATTTGCCCCACTTTTTGGGCCAGTCTGAGCACTTTAACACACTTCATATGGCAGAACTAAAGGAAGATTACAACTTCAGGTTGTAGGCTTTGTGGTCCAAAAGGCAAAGTTTTAATTCTCTTGCTCACCTCATGTGTGACGGTTGTCTTTTCTCGCAGATCTGGCAGAAGAATCAGGAAGACTCGGAAGTATGATATTATCACTACACCTGCAGAGCGCGTCGAGATGGCGCCTCTCAATGAAGAAAACGATGAAGAGGATGACTCAACCCTTTTCGATGTCAAATACAGGTTGGTTTGTTTTGTTTTTATTTCTTTTGGATCACTTAAGCAATGACAAGTTCATCATGTTACATTCATCATATTCCAAGCAGAACCAGAGGAAAAACTCATTTTCTTCAATTTCTACTGGTCACATAAGCAGAGAAGAAAGAAAACACGAGAGCCTCATGTACTGAGAATGTTCTACGTGTATCAGAGAAGAGAAAATGTAGATGTGGATGAGATGCTGACCATGAGAAGCCATGAGTACTAAAAATGATGGCCTTGAAGACAGATCATAAGTTTCTTTGTACAGGTTCTTACACAGCAAATGTAAGGTTAATGTAGATTTTAAAACACTGATACGTTTTCCTCAGGCGCCTTAAATTTTACTATTACAGTCATAAAATGCTGAAACCCTGATTTGCTTATGCAAGATTGCACTTTGGTTTTGACTGTGAAATTTTGCACAACGGCAAATTTACCAGCCGTCCCGGAAGTTTTTTTTTTTTTTAAGTACAAAGCTTGATTAAAAACTGTGTGTCTGACCAGCTTTGGTCATCCTAAAGAAACACACTACTTTAATTCTAATGCACTGTTGACTTTAGGTCTCACCCTTCCGTGCTTTCCATTGTTCACACAGTCACTTCCTCAAAGGGACGCCTTGTTTAATTGACATTCCTGACTTCCAAGTCAGACAGGACTCTTGACGGGCAAACACACTTCCTCCTCACTGTGTGCTCGTTAAGTAACTCTAAGTTTCTGCTTTGCAGGTGAATACCGGCGTGGACGTCAGCGTGTTTGAGCTGATGACTCCCACTTGGCCCGGGACAAGTACAAGTGATTTCCTGTATTTTTTGGGGTGTGTGTGTGCGCGCGCGCATTTCCAAGTCTTACCATATCAGCAACTTAATGCTGTCAGTGCATGGCTTGTATCTGTGGTTAAATGGTGTTTTGACATTACTGTTCGCTGCTTTCCTAAAGCTTCTATCACGTGAGCCAAATAATCTCCCAGGTTATTTCTAATGTTAGAGATAAGGAGGCTCCAAAAGTCTTTCAGCGAATGTCTGCTTTGAAGCCATGTCCGTAATCCAGGGTTAATCACACTTTAAATAACTAAATAAATACATGGTGGTCACTACAGATCATCGCCTAATGCGTAAAGTAGTCATTTACCAAGAGTACTTTCTTCAACTGTAAAATTTAATTGATATTTTTTTAACCAAAACCAAATATTACCTATATGTACTAACCACTTTGTTGTGCGTATATACTGTTAAAGGCTTTCCGGTCAGGAGTGAGCATACGCTACATATATATATATATTTTACCGTGTATTCTTTCAGACATTCCTGTTTCGCTGCTATCACAGCTGACGTTGACCTTTAAGGTTATCAGATTTGACTCGAAGCGCAAAGACTTTGTGTCATATTTATGGAGTATATACCAGTTTGCTATGAATGTGAATCTGCTGTTATCGAGTGCGCTGAAACACGCTTAATCCTTAAAAAAGGAACCGCTGAGCAGGATCGGCGCTGCCTGTGGAGACTGCGGTCATGCCGCCACAGTGATTAACATGCGCCCAGTATCTTACTTTCAAGGCCAAGTTAAAGTTTGACTTTTCAGGGTCAAAGTCCAGTTGCTCGCTTTAAAAATATCCCCAAATTTGATATTCTTTATACGAGCTAACAAATTAAAGTCCCTCACTGTAATATTCACTAATGGCTAACTGACTTCTTCTCATAAAAGAAGAAATTTTCCTGGGCTATGATTGTATTAAAGGCCACTTTTGACATTTGGGGAAGTGATTGTTATTTTTTATAAATACTAAACCACTATATTAAAAACTCATATTAAAAAAAATTAAATTACGATTATCTATCTAAAGTTTTATTCACAGTGAATGAAAGGAAAAGCAGAGGAGATCACAAGACCCTCACGTCTCCGTCTGCCCAATAACGATAATTACATTGTTTGAGGAGCGAGGCAGAACAGACACAGATGAGCTTTTCTGCAGCACACGGTCGCGCGGTTGCCGTCTGTGACCTTCTCTTTTAATCCAAACTGTTATCTGATAGTGCACTGTGGCCTGCAGGTGCAGCTGTTTCCAAATGACCTCCATCCTCGGTTTAATAAGAAAATAAAAAGACTGCCGTGACCAAACTTGCACAATCAATTTATCGTTTTCTTTCTCTCCCCACGCCTGTCTGAAATAAAGTGTTTTTGGAATTTTGGGTAAAGCTGGATGTGTTTATTGTCTTGACAGAATCATTCATTGAATCATATGTGAATCAAACTTGTAAACATACTGAATTTTTTGAAATATGATGTTCTGTAATATTCCTCAAGCTGGCTGCTGTTATTTACTGTTTTCCACTTTTTCTCTTCTGTCCCGTGTCTTTAACTGTTTGTGCAGAAAGCTGCAGATCAATGTGTTTGTGCCTGCTCAGACAAAGATGCCAACCTTTGTCAAAGTTTTTTTTTTTTTTCTTGGCTGGAGTTGTGTGAAATGATGGAAAAACTTCACCGAATCATCTGCTGCACATGGTCGCTCGTAAAGAGAAATTAAAGCTGTAGCGGTGAAACTAATTTCCATGATTCCGCATTTTACCCAAAAACAAAAAAGAAAAAAAATTACAAGTGGAACTGTTTTAAAAGTTTATAGTAAACAAGCCCCTGCTTGGTTTCTGACACAGATGTGCGTGTAGCCCTGTCTGTTTCCTCAGTTTCCATTTATTTGAAAAGCCACTGAAATAAACCCGCTTCCTTTGAAGTGTCAAGGAAAAATTTTGTGTATTTTTTTGCCACAGAAAAGTACATTCACGTTGTCATAAATGCACACGTTAAGCATCAGTGAGTCACACTGAGGATCATAAAAACGAACAAAAAGACTGGAATATGCTCAAACTGTATCCATTAACACAAGACAAACGTGCAAAAGCGAGTATTAGTTTGCTGTAATTTGCACATTAAACAGATGTTAACAGGGTACGTGTGGGGGGGGGGGGGGGGGGGGGAGCAAGATAAAAACTGTACAATCTTCAGAGCAGGGAACATGTGTGAGAAAGTTTTTCTCATCTGTGGCAAACTCCACATTCTGGGTTAATTAACTTAATAGCGTTGGTCACAAACCGTTTCTATTTTTTTGCCAAAGTCAGACAAGCTCACACAAATAAACCTTTCATTGCTTCAGACTGCTGACGTCTCTAGTACAACTTTCATGTCTATTCTTAACTTAATTGGCGGCGTAATAAGGTCGACATGCAAGTCAACAGGCGCATCCTGTCAAAACAACACTTTTTGTGGACAAATCACATGGCTGAGAGCGCATGAGAGGCTATTTGTTTAGCTATGGAGCTCTTGGAATATTTCAAATGCTTCCTTTAATTTTCTATAACAGAGGCATATTGTTACAGAAAAATACCCAGAGCTTCTTGGCCAAAATCTCAACATCGAGATAACTCCAAAAAAAAAAAGAAAAAAAAAAAAGCCCAAAACAAAACCCCTTTTGATGAGGTGGATCCTCGAAGTACAAAAATACAATTTAATCTTGTGTTAAGATGTTCCCGTTTGAAAAGCCAGTCTACTACTGGCCTTAAAATGTACATAAAAAGGAGTTTCTATCCTGACCAGAGGCCTACGACGAGACGTTTTTTGCATACTCTGTTTTTATTTTAAACTGATAACTAGGTTAAAGAACTCACAGCCGAATAAAACCTTTTATAGTGTCTGGGCATGGGGATGGTCCACTTAGGGACTGGTGGAATTGATTTATTATAGGCACAATACTATGTATCAAACTATTATATTGGTTTAATACTAATTCCAAACATGCTCTACAAGAAAAATGAACACATCACTCTACCTCCATATTTCTTAAAGTGTGACCTGTGAGCCCGTAGCAGCTCTTGGTAACATGTTACGAGGTCTTTCAGGGCAACAAAGAAAGAAATGCACTAGTTTATATTTAACTAATCCACACATCAAACTATTCTTTACACTCACTGGCCACTTCATTAGGTTACCTTGCTAGTAAGCTGCCTTAATGCTTTATGGGATATGTGCTGGAAACATTCCACGACCACCCGTTGTGGTCTCCTGTCGCTGTGCCCCGTCTGCTTCACGGTGCAACGTGTTGTGTGTTCAGAGAAGCTCTTCTGCATACCTGGGTTGTAACAATAATTTGAGTCAGCTTAAAGCAGTCTAGCCATGCTCCTCTGACCTCTGACATCAACAAGGCATTTCCACCCAAAGAACTGCTGCTCACGATCCAGTGAGCTCCTCTCTTTATCAGGCCATTCTCTGTGAACCCTACAGATGGTTGTGTGGGAAAATCCGAGCAGATCAGCAGATTGTGAAATACTCAGACCAGCCTGTCTGACACATTCAGAGTCACTTAAATCCCCTTTCTTCCCTATTTTGATGCTCAGTTCAAACCTAAGCAGGTCATCTTGACCACATTTGCCAACATTCCCAAATGCACTGCTGCCTCATGATTGGTTGATGAGATATTTGCATTAACAACCAGTTGAACAGCTGTGCCTAACAAAGTGGCCAGTGAGTGTAGCAGCACATATCTGTGTTACAGCCATTATAGCAGACTAAACCTTTCTACCACTGACATATATAGCTGGTGTCAAGAAATGCAACACTGAACATATTAAGTGTCGCGAAAAGTCAATTAAAAACACAAATAACAGACACGTCACACACATTTCCAGTGTTTGTGATGTGTGCAGACCTCCTCTCCCTACATTGGTCATAAAAACCTTGAGAACCCTTGCTCCACATGAATAAAGGCATACAGATGTCCAGCTCGGGGTCCTCTCAGTGATATTTCACTGAAATAGTTGCTGATTGCGACTTAATGTTAATTTAAAAGCACATTATGGAGCTTGCTTGTTCCCAGGTTTGTAAGGAAGCCAACGAATACATTCATCTCAAAAAGTAAACCTCTTCTTAGTACAAACATCCAGCTACCGTCTCACCCTCCGGTGAGGAAACAGGGCTGGTGCTGTTTGAGGAAAGTTTACAAAGTGGGTTTACCGTTGGCAAAGTCTGAGTAAACATTCGTATGTGAACAGCTGGTGCACTCCTCCATTATGCTCACGCCTTCCTTTCTTGATTTGGTTCTCAAGGTAACCTAACTTTATTAGACGGTGGCTCTGGTTTATTGGAGGTTTGAGTTTTTGCTTGTTATTAACCTTCTAACATTAAAGTAAGGTTATGTCATAGAAAGCGTTTAAGAGATTCCATTTCAAAGTGTTTTAAAAAGAAATGTTGGTCCCCTTTTTTCCTCTATCATCATTCTTCCTGATTATTAAGTGCTTCCATCTTGTGGCTCAACAAGCGAACCAGTAATTTAACAGCTCACAAAACACCCTTAAATTGAGTCTTGTCATCGCAAAGTTGGAATATGAATTTCAGAGCCAGCCTTATTAACTTTTAACACTTGTGGGATGTCAGCTACTTTTAATTTAGAATATAAAAATGAAATTATATTCATTAATTTATTTAATCAACACACATACAGACACGCAAAAAAAGATGTGCTTGTGGAGAGACCTCAGGCCTGAGGGTGGAGTTGGTCACTCTTTGAGCTTGAAATAGAAAAATTGTTCATTCCAGCTGTTGAAAATAAGTTAATTCAAGTCTCATAAAAGTGCTAGCAACGAGAAAAACTGCTCGTATTCAAGTCTGCTTGCCGCAGAACCTTCTGCTATTTGCTCTGGAGATCTTTCTGTGGTCTCTGCTGGATGCCACAAACCCCAGTGTGGAGCCGTAGCGCCCCCTGTCTGTGCAACGTGCTCAGGGTCCTGAACTCCAAAGGCATGGTGTGAGGACTCGAGCTGGAGGTGTACTCATATTTGAGGGTGTCGTAGTAGTGGTATTTAACCGGTTTGCCTTGCGGGTCGAGCGAAAAGGGCCAAAAGCCGTAAAGGTGGATCTCCTCGCAGAAGCGAGTGGCCATTGTGTACATGAGGAGGCCGGTGGTCGGACGTTTGATGTGGACGTTGTTCGTCAGCCAGTACCTGCAGATGCAGACAGAGACAGAGCTGTAAGATAAGACATTCAGGGACAAAACAGGAGACACTCGGACAGAACCAGAACAAAAGGATGAGCAATGAAGGTGTCCATAACTCTTTTCTGGGTACACAGTGAGCTCTGCATTCACTGGGAAGAACCACTTTTCTCCTTCAGTAAGAGGAGGAGTTGAATCCTGCGCGACACAAGCAAAAATAGAGAGTTTGACCGACACCTTTCTGATGTAAACAACAACACACTGGCCTCACAACTGTCTCGCATATTCCTAAAGTCTTCTGTAGGTCAGTTGGTTTAATAATTTCAGTCTTTCAAACGTGATGACTGGCTGCTTTCTTCCCTCTCTCTCTTTTACCTTTGAGTTTTCCACTGGTGATTGGTTGAAGCTGTAGGAAATGGGATTTTTAATTTTGTGAAAGAAAATGACTTCTATCTGTCGAGAGTTGGATTTTTTCACTGCAGTTGCAGAACTGCAGTAACTCCTGGCTGCTGAATTTGACATGAAATCAAAAATATTTAGGTGGACGATTTTTTTATGTTTTACTTTTTTGCAGAGTGTTGCTGAGCAGCACAGACTGTACGTTCTTTTCACTGCGTGAGCCTTTTTAACAAAAGCTGCAGACGCCACAGCTGCTCTGCACGACTATTTTCTCTACCTGAGGTGACTAGCAGCTCCTGTGACAGTGACGTGCCACACGCTCCCCTTGGGAGCAGCTTCGGGGACAGATGGTCACACGTTCGCTTGCATCAGCTTCATTTTCCTTTCCAGTCACTGGCCCATTTGCCCAGCCTTGAGGCCACAACAGCCTCTCCTCTAACACCCTCTATAGTTAATGTGGAAGCTCGTGTTGAGATGCAGCAGCAGTAACCTCCCACTCTAATCAGCTCATGAGCCGTGCAGGACAAACAGTGGGCAGGAGAACAGGGTTTAATTATCAGTGGCATCATCCGAGGTGAGATTTGAGATTTGGTTGCGGTGAATATGAGCACATAAGATTTATTCTCTACTGCAAACTAGCACGATTTAAAGTTCAGCTTTTCCAAGGAAAGGTCAGGGGAGCATTTATCAGGCACGACTATCGATTTAGGGCAAAGACTGTTTCTTACGGTCTGTAAACAAGAAAAATCATGGCTGGTTGTACCTCTTTGCAATACCGAGAGTGAGTTGGAGCATAGAAAATCGCATAATTTGGTCACCGACCAGCGGTGGTTGTTAGGCTTTTAACGAGGCAGGAAAGAACCAGGGCAGAGTGTGCTAATGATAACAGAGGCGAGGACACACAAACAATAGCAGAGAGGGATTTTTATAAATGTCCAAATGCACTTTAGGACATTTGACATCAGTGTAAAGAGGACTTCTTAAAAAAAAATCACTGACAAGCTGTTAAATAAAAAAAGATAACAGTAATGATAATAAATGGAATTTATAACATGATTAACCAAATGCACTAAACACAACACATTAAACCACAGCGCAGCAGCTTTTCCTATTATCTGAGCTATGCAGGAGCTCCGGAAAAAGCAGCAGAAGGAACAAATCAACAACATTTGCAAATAATTAGGCAAACTGATCTTTTCACAAGCTCGTATAAATCAGGCTAAAGAGCTGACGGGAACATGTGATCACCGAGATTTTGACTTCGCCTCATCAGTGAAGCCTCAGCGTGACGCTGAATTGTGAAATGTGTGTGTTTGCTTTCTTGCAGAGAATCAAGTCGAAAGATTGACTTTATGAACACCATGAG